GCTGCCGGCGGCCCCGGACTTCCCCGCGCGCGCGCAAGCCGGCGAGGCGCTGCGCCAGGCCGGCGACCGCGTCGCCACGCTGCGCGCCCGGGTCGACCGCGCCCTGCAGCAGCCACTGGCGGCTCGCGATCCGGCGCTGACTCGCGCCTGGGTGCCGGGCATGACCGCGAGGATCGAGGCCAGCCAGGCGCTGCGCAGCGGCCAGGACCTGGCGGGCAACGCCGAGGACCTGCGGCTCGCGCAGCTCTTCGACCTGCGGCACTTCGCCTGGGTCATGAGCGAGTATGCCGGGCGCGAGCGGGCGGTGGTCGGCAACCTGCTCTCGTCCGGCGGCGCTGCGAGCCTCGACCAGCTCACCCGCCTGGCCGGCTTTCGCGGGCAGGTCGAGCGGGCCTGGACCGCCGTCCGGCGCCTGAGCGCCGACCCGCGCCTGCCGGAGCGACTGCGCGAGGCCGCCGCGGGCGTCGAGACGGCGTACTTCGGGCGCTTCGAGCAGACGCGCCGCCTGGTCTACGAAGCCGGCCGCAACGGCGCGGCGCCCGAGTTCGACAGCGCCGCCTGGATCGCAGCCGCGACCGAGGCGATCGACACCATCCTGGCCCTGCAGGAGGCGGCCACCGCCGCGACGGCGTCCAGGGTCGAAGCCTCCACCGCCTCCGCCACCCGGCGGCTCGCGCTGGCGGCGGCCTTGCTGACCGGACTGCTGCTCAGCGTCGGCGCCGGCGGCTGGCTGGTGGTCGGCCGCGTGACCCGGCCGTTGCGGAGCATGACGGCGGCGATGCGGAGCCTGGCCCAGGGCGACCTGAGCGTCACCGTCCCCGGTCTTCGCCGCGGCGACGAGATCGGCGCCATGTCGGCCGCGGTGCAGGTCTTCAAGGACAATGCCATCGAACGCGAGCGGCTTCAGCGCGCGCAGTCCGACGCCCAGCGGGCGCAGCTCGACCGGGCCCGCCACCTCGAGGCGTTGACCGGCCGCTTCGAAGGGCTGGTCGGCGAGGTGCTCCAGGGCCTCGCCGGCGCCGCCGGCGTGATGGAGGGCAATGCCCGGGCCATGGCCGGCATCGCCGAGCGGAGCCGCGATCAGGCCGGCGGGGCGGCCGCCACCTCCACGCAGGCGGCGGCCAACGTCCAGACCGTCGCCGCGGCGGCCGAGCAGCTCTCCGGCTCGATCCAGGAGATCTCGCGTCAGGTCGGGCAGTCGTCGGACATCGCCCGGCGGGCGGTCGAGCAGGCCGGCGACGGTCGCAGCCAGGTCCAGCGGCTGACCGCCGCGGCCGAGCAGATCGACCAGGTCGTCCGCCTGATCTCCGAGATCGCCGAGCAGACCAACCTGCTNNAACGCCACCATCGAGGCGGCGCGCGCCGGCGAGGCCGGCAAGGGCTTCGCCATCGTCGCCGCCGAGGTGAAGTCCCTGGCCCAGCAGACCGGGGCGGCGACCGAGCAGATCGAGCAGCGAATCGCCGAGATCCACGGCGCCACCGACGGCGCCGTCGGCGCCATGGAGGCCGTCGGGCGCACCATCGAGGAGATCAGCGGAATCGCCAACTCGATCGCCGCCGCCGTCGAGGAACAGACCGCGTCCATCGGCGAGATCGCCCGCAACGTTCAGGAAGCCGCCGGCGGCACCGCGGCGGTGACCGAAACGCTGGAAAGCGTCGCGCAGGGCGCGCAGGAGACCAGCGGAGCCGCGGCCCAGGTCCTCACGGCCAGCGGCGAGGTCAGCAGCCAGACCGCCGCCCTGCGCGCGGAGGTCGACGGCTTCCTGCAAGGCGTCAAGTCGGCCTGAGCCATCCAATACAACCGGCGGCAGGCACGGCCTGCGCGCGCCGAGAATCCGGCGGCGCGACACAAACCTATGACCTGACTTGGCGTTAGCTATGCGTCACGTGCGATGCAGATGCTCGCCAGCGGCTTTGACATTCGTAGGTCACAACGCCAGGGTCGCGCGTATTCACCAACAGCGCAACACTGGAACAGTGGCTGAACAAATCGAACAGGCAAAGACAAAAATCGTTGTCAAAGATCTCTACAAGATCTTCGGCAAACACCCGGAAGATGCCAGAGAGCTGTTACAGCAGGGCTATTCCAAGGATGAGATCCAGGCGCGCAGCGGCCAGGTGGTCGGCGTCAACAATGCCGGCTTCGAGGTCCGCGAGGGCGAGGTCTTCGTGGTCATGGGCCTGTCCGGCTCCGGCAAGTCGACCCTGGTTCGCATGCTCAACCGGCTCATCGAGCCCACCTTCGGGTCGATCGAGATCGACGGCCGCGACGTGGCGCAGCTCTCGCGCGAGGAGCTGATCCGCCTGCGCCGCAAGGACGTGGGCATGGTGTTCCAGTCCTTCGCCCTGATGCCGCACCTCTCGGTTTTGGAGAACGCCGCCTTCGGGCTGGCGGTCGCCGGCGTCGATGCCGCCGAGCAGCGCGAGCGGGCCAGTGCCGCCCTGGAGAAGGTCGGGCTCGCCGGCCAGGCGAAGGCGCGCCCGGATCAGCTTTCCGGCGGCATGCAGCAGCGCGTCGGGCTGGCCCGCGCGCTCGCGCAGAACCCCTCGATCCTGCTGATGGACGAGGCCTTCTCCGCGCTCGATCCGCTGATCCGCACGGAGATGCAGGACGAGCTGCTGCGTCTGCAGGCGGACACCACCCGCACCGTGATCTTCATCTCGCACGACCTCGACGAGGCCATGCGCATCGGCGACCGCATCGCCATCATGCAGGACGGCGTGATCGTGCAGGTCGGCACGCCCGACGAGATTCTGCTGGAACCGGCCAACGACTATGTCCGCTCCTTCTTCCGCGGGGTCGACGTCAGCCAGGTCTTCACCGCCGGCGGCATCGCCTCGTCGAAGGCCTTCACGCTGATCCAGCGGCCCGGCGACAAGGCCGCCGCCGCCCTCGAGCGGCTGGAGCGCAGCGAGAACTTCTTCGGCTACGTCCATGACCGGCAGCGCCGCTTTCAAGGTGTCGTCTCGATCGACAGCCTGCAGACGACGCGCGAGTCCGGCGGCGGCCTGGAGGAGGCCTTCCTGCCCGGCGTCGAGCCGGTCGGCGCGGCCACCCCGCTCAACGACCTCATCTCCCAGGTGGCCTCCGCCCCCTGCCCGCTGCCGGTCGTCGACGAGGAGACGCGCGAGTACAAGGGCGTGATCTCCAAGGCGCGGCTTCTGCACACCTTCGACCGGAAAGGCTGAGGCCATGGACATCGATATTCCCATCGGCCCCTGGATTGCGGCCGTCGTCGACTATCTTCAGGAGCATGCCGCCGGTGCCTTCGACGGCATCTCCTACTTCATCGGCGCCCTGGTGGAGGGCATCGAGGACGCGCTGATCTGGGTGCCGCCCTGGATCATCGCCCTCGCGCTGGTCGGTATCGCCACCTGGCGGGTCGGCTGGCGCTTCGGGCTGTTCGCCCTGGCCTCGATGATCCTGCTCTTCGGCATGGATCTCTGGCGCGAGACCATGCAGACCTTCGCGCTGATCGCCTCCTCCACCGTGGTCAGCCTGGCGATCGGCATTCCGCTGGGAATCTGGGCCTCGCGCAGCGACAAGGTGGAGACGGCCGTGCGCCCGATCCTCGACCTGATGCAGACGCTGCCGCCCTTCGTCTACCTGATCCCGGCGGCGATGTTCTTCGGGATCGGCAAGGTGCCGGGCGCGCTGGCCACGATCATCTTCTCGATGCCGCCGGCGGTCCGCCTGACCAACCTGGGCATCCGCCAGGTCCCGAAGGAGATCGTCGAGGCCGGGCTGGCCTTCGGCTGCACCGACCGCCAGCTCCTGCTGCGCGTGCAGGTCCCCAACGCGATGCCCTCGATCATGGCCGGCGTCAACCAGACCATCATGCTGGCCCTGTCGATGGTCGTCATCGCCTCGATGATCGGCGCCGGCGGGCTGGGCAACACGGTGCTGACCGGCATTCAGCGCCTCGACGTCGGCCTCGGTTTCGAAGGCGGCCTCGGCGTGGTGATCCTCGCGGTCCTGCTCGACCGCGTGATGCAGAGCTTCGGCCGGAACCGCGGCGAGACGGTCAATCCCCTCGGTCGCCTGCGCGCGCTGATCTCGCGGCCAGACACCGACGGCGAGCGAACCGCCTCCGGCCGCGTCGCCCGCTCGGCGGGGGATTAGCGCCGGCGCCGGGCTTGTTGCCATACCTTCAGGGCGGCGGGCCCGCCTCGGCGGCCCCGAGGTTTCACAAACGCCCTGAATGCCCTCTGAAACGGGGGCCCCCGCGAGGCGGGCCAGCGCGACGCGCCGGTCTCGGTGCCCGCGCCGCCTCGCAATCACTCGAACCTTTGAAGGAGAGAGGAGACCCATGTTCCATCGCACGAAGTCCCTGTTGGCCGCGACGGTGGTCGCCGCCGGCAGCTTCGCCGCGCCGGCCATGGCGCAGGACGTGACCATCGGCTGGACCGCCTGGTCCGACGCCGAGTTCGTCACCAAGCTCGCCCAGAAGATCATGACCGAGCGCATGGACCTGGACGTCGAGCTGATCCAGACCGACATCGCGCCGCAGTACCAGGGCGTGGCCTCGGGCGACATCGACGTCATGCTGATGTCCTGGCAGCCGAGCACCCATGCCGACTACATCGACCAGGTCGCCGGCGACACGGTGAGCCTCGGCATTCTCTACGACGGCGCCCAGCTCGGCTGGGTCGTGCCGAGCTACGTCCCCGAGGATCAGCTCGGCTCGCTCGCCGACCTCACCAACGAGGAGGTGCGCGAGAAGCTCGACGGCAAGATCCAGGGCATCGACCCGGGTGCCGGCCTGATGCGCCTGTCCAATAATGCCGTCGAGGCCTACGAGCTCGACGACTACGAGCTGATCTCGGCCTCCGGCGCGGCCATGACGGCCGCCCTCGACCGAGCGATCAAGCGCGAGGAGTGGATCGTGGTCACCGGCTGGACGCCGCACTGGAAGTTCGGCGCCTACGACCTGCGCATCCTGGACGACCCCGAGGGCGTGCTCGGCGGCTACGAGCGGATCATGGCGGTGGCGCGCGAGCGCTTCTACCAGGAGCAGCCCGAGGCGGCCTCCTTCCTGTCGCGCATGTACCTGCCGCTCGACAGCCTGCAGGCCTACATGTTCGAGGCGCGCGAGACCTCCTATGACGAGGCCATCGCCAAGTACCTCGAGGAGAACGAGGCGCGGGTGAACTACTGGATCACCGGCGAGATGCCCGCGTCGTAAGACCGACGTCGGAGGCTGCCGGACGCCGCAGCCTCATCGACCGGATAACGGCCCCTTCCGCCCCGCGGGAGGGGCCGTTTTCTATGGCCCCCGGGCGTCGCCGCGGGCGCGGCCTCTCCCGAGCTCCGGCGAGAGCTGGAAGACGCGCCGCGCGCCACCGCCTCTTCGGATAAAATAAAAGCTTTCTGTGACAATATAAAATCTCTATTTCATGTATTAACTATGGTTTTTTGAAGCTAAACACCTGTGTAATTATTTAAATTACTCACATCACCCCATTCGCCCTAAACATGAAGGGGCAAAGCCACAGGGCAAAGCGCAAATCGCCCGACGACATCCCTGGAGATCATCTCCCATGAAGAGATCGAGTACAGCGAATTATTAGGGGGATTGCGCGATTTCTGCTGGCTGCAGCGGCAGGGCCCAAGCCGGGTCCAACCGCGACCGCCGCGGGTGATGCCTGATCGAGCGATCGGACGTCGGGCCACGGCGGTCGGCAAGACAAGAACCGGACAGACGGACCGGCAGGTGATCACCTGGCCAGAGCAGAGGAGGCCCGACCATGCAGACATGCGTTTTCCCGACCCGAGGGCTCAACGGCACCGTTGAGCTGCCTGCCTCGAAACCGCACATGCAGCGGGCGCTGACCTTCGCCCTCCTGTCCGAGGGGGAGACGAGCATCCGCCCGCCCTCCTGGTCGACGGAGACCCGGCGGCTGTTCGAGGCGGCGCAGCAGTTCGGCATGAAGGTGCGCCGCAACCAGCCCGAGGCCTTGACGCTTTCCGGCACCGCCGGCCGCCTGCGGCCGGCGGCCGCGCCCCTGCAGACCGACGGCTCCGCCTTCATGTTCCGCACCGTGGCGGCCCTGGCCTGCGCGGTCGCCGGCGAGACCGTTCTGGAAGGCCACAACTCGATCAAGCAGCGCCCGGTGCTGCAGTACTTCTCCTTCATCGACGACCTGGGCGGGCGTTGGCAGGACGAGAGCGGCGAGACCGGCGTCCGGCTGAGGATCACCGGCAGTGCCGCCTTCGGCGGCGAGACGGTCGTCGACACCGTGCAGACCTCGCAGTTCCTGACCGCGCTGCTGCTGGTCGGCCCCCTGGCCCGCGACGGCCTGACTCTGAAGACGGCGGGCGGCAGGCGCGTCGGCGAGGGCTACATCGACCTGACCCTCGAGATGATGCGCGAGCGCGGCATCGAGGTCGACATCGCGGACGGCCGCTACCGGGTGCCGCCCGGCGACTACACCGTCAGGCCGACCGAAATCCCCTCCGACTTCACGGCCCTGTCCTACCTCATGGCCGCCATCGTGGCCGCGCCCGCTTCGCAGCTCGTCGTGCCGAACTACCGCCCCTCGGCCATGAGCAGCGAGCGCGAGTTCTTCGAGGCCTTCGCCGCCCTCGGCGCCCTCAGCGAGTACGATGCGGCCAGCCGGACCCTGCGGCTGCGCCACGGCGCGCCGCTGCAGCGCCACGTCGAGATCGACGGCAGCAACATCCCGACCGTGATCCCCGCTCTCTGCACGGCGGCCTGTTTCGCCGATGCCGACGTCACGCTGCGCAACGCCGGTCACGTCAACAATCACAAGTGCCAGCGCCTGCTGGTCATGGTCGACCAGCTACGGCGGATGGGCTGCCTGGTCGAGCCGCTGTTCAACCGCGACGGCGCGATGGAGGGACTGCGCGCGCCGGGACGCAGCCAGCCGAGCGGCGGCGTCGAACTCGACAGCTTCCGCGACCATCGCATCTTCGGCGGCCTGCTGGCCGCCAGCCTGGGGGCGCACAACCCGGTGATCCTCGACGGCGCGGAGACCGTCGACGCCGGTTTTCCCGGCTTCATCGAGGCCATGACCGACCTGGGCGCGCGCTGTGCCTTCCACCGCAGCCCCGCTGCCCTCGGCAAGCCCGCAGAGGCCCCCGTGGAGGAGATTCGCTATGCGACTGCATGAATCCGACAAGCTGCGCGTCCATCCGGCGCGCAACCTGGCCGGCGAGATCGTCCCGCCCGCTTCCAAGAGCTCGTCCACCCGCGCCGTGCTGGCCGCCACGCTGGCCCAAGGCAGCAGCCGGATCGAGAACATCGCCAACAGCAACAACGTCCGCGCGATGATCGCCTGTTGCGAGGAACTCGGCGCCGCCTGCCGCTACGAGGGCCCGAACGACCTGTGCATCGACGGGCCGGGCGCGGACGGGCTACGCGACGGCGTGACGCTCGACCCGGGCAACTCCGGCATCGTGCTGCGCCTGCTGCTCGGGGCGGCCGCGGGGCTGTCGAACGTCACCTTCGTCACGCGCTACGATCGCTCGCTCGGCCAGCGCGCGAACATCGAGATGATGCGCGCCCTGGAACCGCTCGGCGTACGCGGCCACTGGCGCGGCGAGGACGGCCGGCTGCCCATCCGGCTCGACGGCAGCGGCCTGCGGGGCGGGGCGACCCGCATCTCCGCCCGCAAGAGTTCGCAGTTCCTCAGCGGTCTACTGTTTCTCGGCGGCGCGCTGCGCGAGCCGCTTTCGATCCGGGTCGAGGACGAGTTGAAGGCGCCGGACATGGTGCGCACGACCCTGCGGGTGCTGGAACGCGCCGGCGTGCCCGCGCGCGCAGCGGACGACATGATGTCGTACGAGATCGCCGCCGACACCCGGTTCCAACCGGCCACCCACCGCGTCGGCTCCGACCCGGCCAGCACCGCCGCGCTGCTGGCGGTGGCCGCCGTGGTCGAGTCCGACGTCCGGCTCACGGCCTTTCAGGAGGAGGAGATGGGCGGCGGCGCCGTGGTCGAGCACCTGCGACAGGTCGGGGTCGCCATCTCGCAGACCGAGGGCGGCCTGCGGGTGCGCGGCGGCGGCCCCTTCGCGGCCAGGGACTTCGACGGCTCCCTCGCGCCGGACGCGGTGCTGCCGCTGGCCGCGGTCGCGGCCTTCGCCGAGGGGGTGAGCCGTTTCACCAACATCGAGCATCTCCGCTACAAGGAGTGCGACCGCATCAGCGACTTCCGCCGAGAGCTGCTGAAAGCGGGCGTGCAGGCCGAGGAACGCCGCGACGAGCTGATCGTCCACGGCCAGCCCGCGGGCATCCGCGGCGGCGCCGAGATCGACGGGCACTTCGACCACGGCGTGATCATGGCGCTGTCGGCAATCGCCCTGGGCAGCCACGCGGGGCTGACGATCAACGCCCCGCGCCACGTCGCCCAGACCTATCCGGACTTCTTCACCGACCTGCGGTCGATCGGCGGAGCGATCGAGCCCTTCGAAGCGGCGGCCTAGCGCGATCTGCGCGCGCACGGACTCGCGCCGCGAGGCCGCAGGATCACGACAGGCCGCACCAACGCAAACCCCTGGAGCGGGGGCCGGGTGACCGCGGGTCTCCCCCGCGCCCCTCGCCCTCAGGACCGAACTCAGGAGGACACGTCATGTGCGGAATCGCCGCCATTGTGGAGCTGTTCCGGACCGCCGACGCGGCGCGCCGGGACCAGCGCCGCCAAACCCTGCTCGACATGCTCGGCACCTTCGCCCATCGCGGCGACCCGGAGCACTTCGGCGAACTGCTGGTCGAGGAGGACTTCGCCCTCGGCACCAACCGGCTGGCCATCGTCGACCGGGATCACGCCCGCCAGCCGGTCGCGGACCCCGACGGGCAGGTCGTCGTCGCCTTCAACGGGGAGATCTACAACCACGAGCGCCTGCGCGCCGAGCTGGAGGCCTGCGGCCACCGCTTCCGGACCCGCTCGGACACCGAGGTGCTGGTCAACGGCTACCTGGAATGGGGCGAAGAGCTGCCCGAGCGGCTCGACGGGATCTTCGCCTTCGTCCTGGTCGACCGGGCCAAGGGTTCCGTCCTCGCGGCGCGCGACCACATCGGCATCAAGCCGCTCTACTACCTGCGCCGCGGCGACGGCCTCTACCTCGCTTCGGAGCAGAAGGGCCTGCTCGCGCTCGGC